CTTTATGAAGGCATAGAGCCTTTACTACATGAAAATGAAAATTAATGAATACACTGTGTACAGTAATTTACCTGATAAGACAGACCTCAGAAAAATACTTTATGAGAGCTTTTATACTTTTATAAAGCTGTCTATAATGAAAATTAATTAACTAAGGATTTTTTTGCCCTGTCAGGGTGGGGCCGAGTTATCCGGAGTGCCGGGTTATCGAGAGCCGAGTTTTCGAGGTTCTACTGTATTTGAATATTTTTAATAAGAAATTAAATGATAGGATGCCATTTCACTTAGTCCTTTAATTAATTAAAACATTATAAATATTCTAAAATTGAAAAAACTGATTAAAGTAATTTTTTTTTTCAATTTAAAATATATTAAAAAATTATTTGCATCTTCTCTCATTTTGTATAAAGCCATTCCATGGAGTCATACCACTTAATTTCACCTGAAATGTTCTATATATTTAATACAGCCTATGTACATAATGATATAAGTGAATATTTTAATTATATTATATTGTTGGATCTTTTATTGCACCTTATGGAACAAATTTGATATCATCTTCAGATTGATCTGGAGAGGTGATAAGGTATGTATTACACATAAATATGCATACAGAAGCAAATTTTTCCATATTTTTGTTTAAATTCGCTACCATATTTCTGTTTAAAGAGTCTAAATTCGAATAATAAAAAGTCTACCGCATTGGCTGAATCTTCATTTTCTTTTTAGAATCTGGTGGTCTACTGGAAGGCACTGGTACATCTTCGTCGTGGCCGTTTCTGGTCTGTTTACAATCGAAAAGAAACGTTGCCACTAACGGAATCTTCCATTTTCCCTTTTGTTTCGGCTTTGGTAAAGCATATATCATTAATTTATAATAACCGGTCCTTGGTGGCATGAAGTAAAAATCAATCCGTTTTTCGGTTTCGTCTTTTTGCAATACACCGGGTGTATCAATTTCGCATCCGTTGGAATCAAAAATCTGATGACTTACTAACATTGGTTCCTTCATTTCTATGCTGAGTCTTCGTTTATTGCCCCAACTTACCATAATAGGAACTGATTGATTCAGAAGTTTCATACCATAATCGTAGAAGCACTGTGTTGGACCCCAGGGTATTTCATTTAGAGGATACGGTTGAATATATCTACGCGACCTCACACAATCCAGCAAGAATATTACCACGTTTCTTAACGTTGCATCGTCATACATCTCCCATTCTGGCCTGGCGTATATCTTAAAAACGTATCGACCTTCTAATGGTGGAAAAACGGCGAATGATCCAACTAATCTTTCTTCTTTCATTTGGCAAAACACATAATTGTTGAGAGAAGGGTTTTCCATATCTTCCGCCGAGTATAATTTAAATTTGTATCTCATAGGTTTCTGCGCTCCGATTTTAATTTCCGTTTGAACTCGAAATGTAATTGGATTCTGTAAATTCGATCGAAATCTCAAATTGAATTCGAAGAAATAAGGAGTGACTTTAGGTAAATTATTGAATTCGTCTAATGTTAATGGTTTGTCGAGAAGCTGCCATCTGCATAAGAGAAATAAAATGTAATTAATTCAATTTTTATAGCTTATTATCATCAGTGCCAGATTAATTAAACTTCTACCGGGCTCTAGACAAAATTTAAATTGGGGCCCATTTAAATAAATTGCTTCTAAAGTAATCTTAAATAATATAAACTAAAACCTTTATTTAATATAAACACTAATACAATAATAATTGCAAAATAAAGGGGTTTCTGGTATAACGAAAAATATATATAATTATAGTCATTGATCAACCTTTAAAAAGCCGGGCCCCTCTAAATTACAGGCCCTAGACATTTGTATTTTTTGTGTCTTGGTTAATCCGGCATTGATTATGATTATAATCACAAAGAACATATTTGAAAAATTTACGTTATACTACAAGATATTAATTATTTCCTAAGAACTGGATAGTAATTTATTAATAAATAAAAAACACACAGCAGTAAGCGTAATCTTTATCCATCCGAATAAAAAAAATGCTCCAGATATGTTTATAAATTTAAGTGTTTTTTATGTTTTCTAGATGCAGCACTTGAACAACTGCTACAATTCTTGAAATCCAGAACGTGGATTTAAAGAATTGATGCAGTATGGTTTGAATGGGTTGCAAAATTATTCAAATCCATAGCGAAATTACTTTCCGAACAACCTAATATAAATATGGATCATGAACGTTCACAGAAAGGGCAAACCGGGTACTTTATAATAGATTTTTTACTCGATCCCCTCCCTGGGATCGAATAAAAAATCTATTATAAAGTTTATATAAATACAATATCTTAGAGAATAATGTTTCTTGTACAGTATAGTGAAAATATTAATAAGAAAAGCCCATAAATTTAGCAACGGGACAATGCTCTTGTAATTTATTTGATTGAATATGTTTATATCCAAAAACTTGTCAAATTGGCGCAGGCTAATACTTTTGACAGTATTTGGGATGAACTGGATGTCTTGCCAAATAAATGAGAAGATAATCGCTGAGTTAATCACTGTTTTAAAGGAAAAGTCTTGTAGAAGTTCTCTAAAATTTTTAGAAAACGCATACAAAAATTTGAAGATCATGTCACAAAAATTTAAGATTGTACTATAACCTAATTATGTTGCAATTTGAAAAAATTGTAGACCTGTAAATTCCCATTGTCTGTTTTTCCTTAATCTCGAGAACGGAGTTAGATAAATGGAAACCTTGAGGATAAGAGGCTCCGATGAACTATATATAAACTTCCAATACAAACCGAAAGTCACGTTATTTGAATTCATAAGTTTTTCCCCCGAAAGCAGTTAATATATGACTGGCACGACTCCATTGTTAATGGAAAAGTATGATGTACAGGGGGCAAACTACTTAATTTGAGGTCGAGCATATATTTTAAATTAAACAAATAAAAAATTGTAGCCCGGCATGTTACAATAAATATTTGCTCATGATTTTTGTACTTTTCCAATAAGTAAAGATTATTCGAGATCAAAATACGTTCGAATATTAACGATAGGAGAATATATAGTGTCTCGTAAGTTTGGAACCATACAGGTTATGTTAATCTTTTTTTGTTATTTTACATGTCACTGAATAAGAAAGAATAAATTCAAGCATATGTGTGTATGCAGAAAATTTTCAAAGAGGAGCAAAACTTAGAGACAAATAATTATATCAATAAATTTTTATTTAATTATTTAATATTTTTCTGGGCCAAATGAGGAATTTACTTCATCTGTTGATCCCCATGAATTCAAGTTATTTTGATAGTAGGAATCCACAGTAAGCGAGAAGTTACTAAGAGTTTAACAGGCTGCATCCAAACTTCTCACCAATCAAATACAGTGGTCTGAATGCAGTCTGTTAAATTCGAATTGCTTTAATCAATTATTTATATTTTATACTTTATAAATGAATATATTATAATAATAAATTTAATTTGTAATATTTCTTATAAATATATTACCTGGAATAATCACTTTCCATTTCATCATACGGAAAATGAGTCCAAATTAACACTTCTGGATCGGGAAGAAAGAAATGCTCATTCAACTTCTTTTGAAATTTCCCAGTGAAATCCGTGTATCCTAAATACATAAATGATTTCTTATAATCTATTTTATTTACATTATTTTAAATTATAAACTAAGTTTTATGGGTAAAACTGTAGTTTTACCTGTACCCCAAGTAGTATCTATTAATCGCCACGCTCCAAATATGTACACAGCATTCCACGCATGAGTAATATCTTGCCCAGGTTGAAATTTATATCCTGGTCTATAGTCGTATCCCTTAGCAAATCCTTGAAGACGTTTCACTCTAATATTTGCTAATCTATAAAGAAATTATCATAATAAAACATTTTAAATGATGTATATGTCAACTGATCAAAATTGATTTGTGTATTTCCACTGTGTAATCATTTAAAAACGTGATTTTTTAAATGAATAATCTTACTTGCACATTTCGTTGAATAATTTACTATAATCCTTGCAGACCCCTTCACGTTTTTCAAACACTTCTTCTGCAGTCATCTTGGTTTCCATATATTTCCAATCATAACTGTAAAAATTATATGCGTACTTTAGTAAGTATAAAATTCTACTCAAAATTAAAATATATTTTATCTTATAACATACACAATGTTATTTGATATCCATCGAAACAACGCTCTCACTTTTATTAAATCATTTTTGGCATTCTCAGTTAAATAATCAACCAGACTTTGTATAGAAGAAGTGACTGATTCAGGTGCCTGGAAAAAACATTATATTAATAAATTATGTTATTAATATATACTTATACATATATAAGAATTTAAAGTATATGGTTAAAAGGAGAGACGTACGGCCCCTCTGATTTTTCTTGAATACACCTCCTTTAAACCTCTATAAATTTTGCTCATTCTACATGATAACGGGACTCTTTTATAACCTTTTATAATGGTGTAATGAGCAATATATTTAAGACTTGTCAAAGCTCCATTTCACATCTCTCAGTTAAATCGAGGCTTTGACCAGGACCTTTCTTCAACAATTGGATAAAAATTATTTTTCTCATTCAACTTTGGATACCACTTAAAATATTGGGGGTCCGAAAGGGTTCTGACCCTTTAGAGTTGGCTTCCATGTCCTCCTACAGAGAGGTCGAAACCCCGCAAACGTAATTCCAGTTCTCTAAAAACTGTCAGTCATCCAACTACAATATATTCAGGAACCCCATATTAATAATAATAATAATAAAAATACATCAATAAAGCAATCTCGGATAATCAGAACAAGTTCAGAGGCCCAAATACACAATAATTGTATTGATTATAATTATTTAAGTTTAATTTTAAAGATTATAATGCAAAGCTTTATTTAATGATAGAAAATGTATTATTATTTTTCTTACCGTATATAATATCTGTATTTCTAATATCAGGTATTGTTGAAAATAGAGAAAATTGTAATTCTTTTCTTTATTGACTGTCATCTACAGACCTATATATATGTGTAATGGTGAAGTGTTATCACGCGATAGAGGAAAATGGTATTTTTGTTTTCGAATTTGTCACGAACTACAATAAAATCATAGTTAGATAGTTTTATCAGAATTTTTCTGTGGAGTTAATGGACTGTTAAGTATTTCGATACTTATTTCAGTAAATATCATTTATATAAATGCAACATTAATGTAAAATACGAGTTCAGTTTTCAGTCGAAGCAATTGATAAATTTCAAGATTATTCTGCTTGTTTCCATTTACGTTCACGATATTTATTATTAAATATAGAATATTTCGATACATTTTACATATAATAAATTATAAATGATTATATTGGAATATACTATATTTATAAACTGTATACCTACTTTTGCAGGGAGTGCAAAAGTAGGTATACAGTTTTTATTATAGAAAAAAACTGCAGGAAAAAAGATCTAAAGAAAATACAGTATTTAAACTAAAATTTGATAAACGTATAATAATATCAAGATGATTTACAGTAATTTACGAGTTTATCTTCAAATTAGAAGTAACTAAACATAATGGAAATAGCATATACTGTATAAAATTACGTGATATCTATTACATACAGTATTGTTTATTTATTGGCTGGAGATAATTTTGCAAGGCAATGTATTCTGGGGCGAAACTAATTCAATATATTAAAATGGATCACGGTAGTAGGTTAATTGCATTGTTTACTTAATATACTTGGCATCTAATTAAAGTATGTGCTACTTTTTTCAATATTAACAAACAGGAGAGCAGAAAAAAAGTCTTGACATCCAATTGCACTCTCAGACTTGCCATTGACTTTATAGATGTGTGTTCGTGACGAATAACGTTCAGATTTGGAAAAATCGACATATTGATTCGATAAACTTTTGCTAAAATTGTCAACGACGTCGTAATGCAAACTTGAAATCGAAGATAATCTTCCGTGTTAACCTTCTTAGAAATAAACTGTAAATTTACTTTTAGTCATTGTAATTCTAACGAATAAACAATAAACTTATAAGAAAATGGAATAAGCTGGATGTGTGTGACTTAATTTTGAAAATTAAATAGGAAATGTATTGTTAATAAATAAAGTTGTGATTACTGTATTTCGAAAATGCGTAATGTTTCCTTTATTATTTTTAATTACAGAATCAGGTTAAGTTTATACAGGCTTAATAATACAAAAATTAAATAGAAAATGCGTTATCTTATCCAGCAGCAATGTTTCAAAATTGGGTCACTTATGAAAACGCCGCAATAATGACTTTCCTGTAAATTTCTGGCTACTGCAAGGCCCTTCTGTATATTACTCATTTTCAATATTTTGTACGTTAATACATGATTATTTACTTCGTTCTCTAGCTTTTTGTCCCTTCTTGACAAAATAGGTTCTCAGTTGACTTGAGCTCCTATGCAGTTCCTTAGTCTGCATATATAGGCCTAGTAGTTCCCCATAGTCTTATCATAAGCTTGCATAATACAAAGAACTCGATGGAGTCCACCAGTGATCAAGTGAATAACAACACAACACTCGCGCATAACCAACGAGTTGGCTGCACAGAGTTTTCCAGTTTTTCTTCACGTGTTTAAAACTTGAACATAGACCAGTTTCCAATAGAAACTTTTTCTATTCAGCTCTCAAAGAAAATCCTCCCCAGAAGCACCCCTTTTGACATGCCACCCACGTGTTGCATTGCATTATCCCATCAATCCACTAACCTATTGGATTAACTTGACGATTTCAAAGTAATTTCGTCCTGGTCAAAGCCATAGACACCACAAAATCACTTATATAAATAAAACATATTTGGAATAAAATGACACATCAATCAATTTTTAAACTTACCTCTAGTGCACGTTTGTCGATATGTTCAAAAACAGCCATATTCGGTATCATCTCTTTCTTCTTGCAAGGTGGTGGTCTGGCTGCAAATTCGGGAGCTTCGTCCGTTATCGGATCGTTATCCGTTTGCACCGCAGCCTCCTTTTTCTCTGTTCCTTCTTCAAAATCGTCTTCGATATCTTGAAGAAAACGAGCGAAACTCTTCTGAACATTACAATCTCGAGCCGATAGCCTATTCAGTTCTTTTTCAATATGAGCTATGGGCGATGGAGCATCGGCGAACAAAACACTAGCTTCGCTATCCGCCGCATTGGCAGCTAAAGCTCTCATAACTGGATCGGTTTGAGATTCAAAATCCGCCGTGGACATTACAATCTTTTCTTCATCTATATTTGGATTCGTTTGAGTCGCTCGGCTTTTGAAATTTTGAATAACTTGAATCCCCACGTCTACATTTTCGTCGTGTTTTTCGACCGTCACTAATTTATCTTCTTCCGTTTGCGTGTGAACGTCACTAATATCCGGAACGTCTTTTGATTCGTATCCTTCTTGCGATTCAATGAGAACTTCCCATTCGTCTTCAATGAAGATGTTACCATCGGTCTGACACGCAATATCTTCTAGATTATATAACACTTCCGTTTGCATCCCCTTTGTGATTTTGTTAGTTCTGTCATATTCTTTGATTACAATTGATTTATAATTTCCATTTGTCACATTCCATCCTTTACTGGAAGAAACGAATCTTTTATCTAGAGGTGTAATTATTCTTCTTTCACGACTCGAGCCGCATCCCATTTTACATTTGTTACTAAAAAGAAAAAAAAAATATTGTTAAATAAATATCCTATAATATTTAATAACGTTTTAAAACATTTTTTTCTTAAAATCAGAAGTATAAAAAGAACAGAAAGATTGATCAAATATTTAATTGAACATCTAAAATGTTGATGTTTTAAGCCTCAGATCATAACTTTTGGTACAACTTTTGGATCGACCTCGATTACATAATTCATTAAATTTGGAGTATTAACCTTGAGAATGCCATTTAAAATAAGAAATGGGCAATAAAAAGTCTAATAAAATTTCAAATGTTTTAAGTAGTCAAATATGACCATTTTTTGAATTATACACGAAAATTTTCCCAATTTTCCAATTTCAGAAATAATCCATTTTTATATTTTGTCATACATTAATTTTTTAACCCTTTCCGCTCTCTGGACACTAGCAGAGCCTTTTTAGCAAATCTATCACCCACTGGGCCCAATGTGGAGAGATCACTCTGATATGTCGGGACCGTCCCTCACTATATGACAGGACTGGTGAGGGAAGGCCCCGACATATCCGGGTAGATCACCTCTGAAAAATTCCTATGAGTTTTTCGACTAGACTCCTAGACAGATGGACTGCTACCTTAACCACCCATCTGCCATCTAATTAAAATTGATTATTGAAACACCGTTGAATCATTCGAAGAGTTTCATTAATCAATGACACTGATATAATTTAAATTGATTTTAAATTGTTTTTCGTCTTTATAACGGCGAAAAACAATTTTGCAAGGATCTCTCGATCCTTGAGAGATGCTATAGCATTCGTACTTTTGAGATCTTCAATCGATATGAGATACTGTCGGGAAATTTGTTCGTTACAGTATTTAAATTTTCCATTCTGAAAACCGCATAAAGACCTATATACTTTTGTATCTATCTATAAATCGATGGCCTATATATAAGCTATCGTTTCTTGGTAATGTCTAAATAAGTCTTTAGTGTTGATCGATTCTTAAAGTCGCAAATTGTTCGGTCAATAATTTGTGGAGTTTTTACAATAGCTTTGACGACTCGATAAAATTGAAAAATTCCTCTCACGATAGATTTAACAATAGAAGGTATTTTTAAAGAGTAATTTTGAAATATGCATAAATCAGAAAATATGCCGACAGGGAAGAGGCAAAAACGTATTTTCTGTACATGCAATTTATAATAATTTAAAAAAGTTTATATTAAATAAATTATAAATTAATTATATTATTAATAATAACAATAGCTAAGTTATTAATTTAAAAGTTGCTATATAAATCAATATTTTCAAAGTTGACGAAGGAAGCAATATATTCTTTATAATCAAGTTTCTCAACCTGTAGATCGAGACTTCAAAACGCGCGTTCCTCATTCCTACGTTATAGGTCGGAGGGCCGAACATATAAAATAATTTATATGAGCCTTTCATGTTAATAACCGAAGTGTGTATAGCCTTATGGCTATATCGAAACAACTGAGCCATTGATAAATCATAAAGGCGCCATTATACTTTATAAATGCATTATTTATTTAACAAATAAACAAAAAAAAATATTTTTTTAAACACGAAATTTCCATTACATACGAGAAATCTCATAAAAGTTCTGTCAACTTGTACCA